AAGAAAATAGACTGCAAGACTTCATACTCCTTTTTTGTTTAAAGCACCAAGAATGTATTTAGTTTAAACTGAAGATAAAATTGGGGACCATTCAACATAGATGGGCAGTTTTAGATTCCAACCAATACTTGGCCAGCAATGTTCCTGGAAAAGAAGTATTTGTAACAACACAGAGGGTCAAGTGAGCTGGGGTGTACAGTTTTAAGACTTTGCTTTTGGAGGTGTTTGAATACCAGGACATCACCAATGCCTCAAATGAAGTATACTGGATGAGTGGAGGTAATCGATTTGTGAAGTGGCCAGAAATTTTATAAGAGGCCCTCCATTCTCAATTTGCATATTGTATTAGATTCCACAAGAAAAGATAAACTGGATTTACAAGCATCCCTTTTACGAAAGTTCTCAACACACACCAACAGAAACAATTGAGTACTGTCCGTGATACTTTTTTTATTTGCAGTAACATACAATTTTGAGGACAAGCTTTTGTGGAATGTCCCCTTCTTAAAGGTCTAAGCAGTACTCAAGTACAATCGACTCAAGCGCACCAGAAATTTACATGAAACCATAAAATTCCAATACCCAATAGTCCCTCGAAGTTCTCCACAGGGCATTAGCATGTTTACTCCCAACGTATATCCTAGGTTGAAACCTGTCTGCAATTAAATTTTTCCTTTTCGGCGTCAATTCCATCTACATAACCTTCCTAAAATAAAAGAAATGTAGAAAATGATATCATTGGAACCATACAATAAATGTAAATCCTATGGTCCTCTGCACCCTCCAAAAAAAAAAAAAATGTAATTTCCAATTGAAGCTTCATTTCTTACTTTGTATATGACTTGCTGGGCTAGTTTTCCCTACAGCTACATATTGCAAAGCTGAAGCAGAGCTGGAGTTGTGCTAACAATGCAACGTAAGGCCCTGTGGTAAGCAATTTACTTTATATTCGTATCCCCGTCTCAACAAAAACCTTTTGAAGTCTTTATTTTGTGGTAGGAGATCACTATGCACCATGAATGCCAGTGAAAGATTTAGGTTTATAATACAAATTTAATGTGTGGGGTCAGACATCACAAATCTCAATCACAGTGAGTGGGTGGCACTGGATGGAGCAAACTTTCCACTTAAAGGCATGTTCACATTCTTGAAGGGCAGTTATCTTTCAAGTGTATGTTCACCTTATAAGTTAAAAATTGAAGGAAAGCCGAGGGCTGGGCCCACAGATTCAGAGGGTACACGATGCTACACAGACAGCGGTTCTTTTAAAACAATTACGTTTATGTTCACATTAAAAAAAAAAAAATCCGTATTTTTGCTAGGAAATTGAAGTGAACACCTCAAACGCAATTTTTTTTTTTTTTTTTTTTTTTTTTTTTTTTTTTAAATGCACAAAAACACAATATATTGGCCAATTATTTGGTAAGCTATAAAAGATGATGCTATGCTGAGTAAATGGATACCAAACATGACATGCTTTAAAATTACGCATGCCCTGTGCAATGGCGACAATCTTCATACAATTTTAATATCTATAGGCAACGCTTTGTAAATCTAACATAGTAGCTTGTAAAGGCTTTTAGAGGAGGGCTAGCGCTATAATTACTGCCCTTGATCTGACGTTTGTGGTGATACCTTACATGCATGGTGCAATCGCTGTTTCCATACTGGCACAAGGGCAACGCTCACATGAAAGCCCATCGCTAGCTGAAAAAAACGATACCAGGATTACCCTGGTATAACCATTCAAAGTCCAGTAAATTTTTTTTTTTTTCCCCATTCAGCCCACAGGCTGCATAAAGAAAAAAAAAAAGAAGAAATCTCTGCCAGAAAAAGTATGTGGTATGCCCACCGTTAGAAGTGGGTGGATGCAGGGAGGTATTCTAAGGGTGGGTACACATGAAATGTGCCAACAAATATAAAATATATATGCCGAAGCATAGGAGCCATCCACCCACTGGCCACCCCAGGCCCCCGTGCTTCAGCATGTATGCTCCTTTTTTTTTTTTTTTTAACTGCGGATGAAAAATCTCATCCAACAGCACTGCACACACCTACTTATGTCTATTCTGAGAGCAAGACCCTGTTGCGGTCAGAATAAACAAGTCGGTGCTGCAGTTTGAAATGCCTGCAAAGAAATCAACAATGTTTAACACAGTAGCTCAATAAAAACAACTTTATAATTGAAATATCTCTGCAAAGAAAAGTGTGTGGTGGTATGCCCAAAATTAGAAAACCTCCCTTCATCCACCCACGTCTAATGGTGGGCACACATGAAATGTGCCAACAAATATAAAATATATATGCCGAAGTATAGGGGCCATCCACCCACTGGCCACCCCAGGCCCCCATGCTTCAGAGAATATATGCTCTTTTTTTTTTTTTTTTTTTTTTTTTTTTTTTTTTTTAACTGCGGATGAAAAATCTCATCCGATACTGCTGCCCACACTGATTTATGTATATTCTGAGAGCAAGTTCCTGTTGCTGTCAGAATAAACTGGTCATTGCTGCAGCTGAAAGCATCCTGCAAACAGAAATGGTTAACAATAAAACAGTAAAAGTAGAATAACAAAAATGACAACAAAGAAAAACTATCTAATTTTTTTTTTGTTTTTTTAAAACTTTAAACATTTTAAAAACAGATGGTAGGGTCTCTCCAAATGCGATAGCCAATTTCCTGACTACCTAACATCTTTCGAAACCCTGTATAATTGTGCCCTGAACTGTGCCTTGCTGTACCCTATACTGATAGTCCACTAGTGCATGGGTAGCGACAGAAGCAGCCCTTGACGCAGAGGCCAGGTTGGGCAGGACAGGAGGGACACGTTTTCTACAGCCACGACATCTTTTTGGGGGTTCCTTTGGGTTGGGGTACCAGGAATGGCATCGGGAAAATGCCTCTCATGCAGCCGGCTAACTGCATCTGGGTTGGGGGTTTGGGGCGCAGCACCTCCTGGATACAAAAGGGACTTGATGATAGATTCCTTCCAAAAATTCCAGGAAGATCTCTAGTTGCTATGTAAAGAACAAAAGAGTTATATATAGCCAATTTGGAATAAATACACTTTTTTTTTTTTTTTTGTACCAATGTCTTGATTTTGGGAAACTAAATACGGCTTCATCATCTGGTCGTTGTAGTCCACCCCTCCCATGTTAAGGTTATAATCGTGGACACAGAGGGGCTTCTCAACACCAGCTGCCGTGGAAATTTAGATGGCCGTATCTGCGTGAATGGAAGACAGGAGGAAAACATCCCGTTTGTCCTTCCACTTCACTGCGAGCAATTCTTCGTTTCTCAAGCAGGCTTTTTCCCCCTTTCTAAGACGGGTATTTGCAAGCCATTGAGGGAAGCCCCGGTGATTAGGTCGCACGGTGCCACATGCACAAATTCCAAGATTGCACAAATGTCTAAATAGTGGCACGCTTGAATAAAAATTGTCCACGTATAAGTGCTACCCCATATGGAATAAAAACTGTCCACTTATAAGCGGTACCCCATATGGAAAAAGGATGACACCAAGTCCCAAACTATCTTGCCACTGCTCCCCAAGTAGTCTGGGCATCCGGGGGCCTCCACATGACTATTTTTTCCCTCGTAAATCCGAAACTTATAAGTATAGACTGTTGCCCTCTCACAGGTCTTCTACAATTTGACCTCATATCTGGCACGCTTGCTGGCGATATACTGTTTGAATACAAGTCAGACAGAAAATTGAATGAGGGACACATCAACGCAGATGTTTTTATGGGGAGTATACACATCTGCAAATTTTTGGTTAAAGTGATTTACGAGGGGCTGAATTTTGAAGAGCCGGTCAAATTCAGGGTCACCCCGAGGACGACTGAGTGTGTTGTTGAAGTGCAACCTTTGGTTGGACATTTTGGCCACTAAATTTATAGATACATAGTGCGACTCACGGTAAAAAGTGCGCCTGGCTGTCAGCACTTGTTGGTAAATGTTTTGTAGTGGTTCAAGCATTTCCTAACAGAGATCAGGCCTGATTTGTGAGCACTGCGGTTTTGTGTATAATGTATCAAGTGACCGTTATCTACTGACACTGCACTTGCTGGGGGAGAGGGGGGGGTAAGCGTAGGGGCTAAACGCAGGTGCTGGCAGGTGTCGGGACTGATCCCGCTAACACTGCATTTTTGGGGACACTATACTAATATGAACGCTGGTATAGCGCTGATCTGATCAAATATATTGATCCAATCGGACACTATACTAGCAATGGAGGTTTAGCGTGCAAGTGAGCATGTTCAAGGGGTTAAATGTGATTACTGGTGTACTAGCGGGAATCTGACGCTATCTGGGAGGGGCTCTAACTGACGCTAACACTATCGGAAGTCGCCAGCGACACTAATACAGTGACGAGTAAAAATCTGTTCACTGTAATCAATGCCGCTGGTGACAGGGCAGTGAAGGGGATAACTGGGGGGGGGGCAATCAAGGGGTTAAATGGGATTACTGGTGTACTAGCGGGCAAACTGGTGCTATATGGGAGGGGCGCTAACACTATCGGAAGTTGCCAGCAACACTAATACAGTGATCACTGGTGACAGGGCAGTGAAAGGGTTAACTGGGGGGGGGGGGCGATCAAGGGGTTAAATGTGTCCTAGGTGTGTTCTAACTGAAAGTGTAGTGCTTTGTACTCACAATTTGTACGTCTTCTTCTCTGGGACGGAATGTGCCCGGGCAGAGAAGAGTTGCATCATATCCTGTCCTATGTAACTGTCAACACAGGACAGGATAGGTCAGGGACCGATCATCCAATTTAAGCCAGTGATGTCTGGCTGAAATGGAATGATTGATCCCTCGGGGGGATAATGGTAACACCCACGGGTCGGGCGGGGCGCACGTGTGCCCCCGCCCACGAAAACAACGGGAGCGTGACTGATGTTTAAAAATGGCGTTCTGCGCAGCGGTGCCGGCCTGCCTCAGTAAAAACACTGTGGCTGGTCGGCAACCAGTTAATGCAGAGGAAACGGGCTTTACAAACCAAAGAGGAAACTGATAAACTCGTTTTGGGACCTGTGGCTTGGAGCAGGGGTGAACTGACAACTTATGGGGCCCCCGGGCAATAGGGGATCATGGGGCTCCTGCGTCCTTGCCCAAACTCACAAAAGCCTATGAAAAAGGTACCAGGGGCATCTCGTGGGGCCCCCTACTGACCCCGGGCCCTCGGGCAGTGCCAGAGTTTCCAAATGGTCAGTCTGCCCCTGTAGCCTGTGTACCATGCAGGCCAGCCAAGCTTCCTGAGCCTTGGAACGGCCCTGTGGCCCCATCACAGTATATCATACAAGATGCTCTCTCCTTTGCCATGTTTGTGAATGCATTTGCATATTTTTTTTTTTCTAATAATAGTCACATATACTTACTGCAGTATGATCTTTTTCGCGCTGTGTTTCTGTGTTTTTTTTGTTTTTCGTTTTTTTGGTCCATAGATGAATTGAAATCCTGCCATTTCTGTCTATGACAGTTCCAGATCGAAGTCGATCTAACGATCAGCTTCTGTTGCAGAGGAGAGTTGGAAATATTTCATTCAATCAGTGTATTCGGACGGTGGAGGAGTCCTCCCTGCTGTACCAATATATTCTGACAATGGGGATTCCAACATCCACCTCTAATGTGTGGATTGGGATTTATTTTTCTTTTCCTTTAAAAGCCTGCTGGCTGATTAAAAATGATCCATCTATGGCTAGCTTAAAACTGATGCAATGGGCTTGATTTACTAAAGGCAAATAGTCTGTGCATTTTGAAAATTGCAATTGCTCCAGAGCAGGGGCGGACTGACAACTCATGGGGCCCCTGGGCAATAGGGGATCATGGGGCCCCTGTGTCCTTGCCCAAACTCAAAAAGCCTATGAAAAAGGTACCAGGGGCATCTCATGGGGCCCCCTACTGACCCTGGGCCCTCGGGCAGTGCCTGAGTTTTCAAATGGTCAGTCTGCCCCTGCTCCAGAGCTTAGTAAATGAGCAGAAGCTCTGCTGCCTTCCATCACCCAATCATGTGCAAGCAAGAATGCTGTTTTTTTTTTTTTTTTTTTTTTTTTTTTTTTAATTCTTTGCATGTGATTGGGTATTATTTGCAAAGTGCATCTTTACCTCATTCACTAAGCTCTAAAGCAGCGGTTCTCAACCTGGGGGTCGCACGACACTTTACCAGGGGTCGCCTAAGACCATCGGAAAACACATATTTCCGATGGCCTTAGGAACCGAGACACCGCTCCTCTGTCTCCAGGTGTGGGTGGGATGACATGCCGTCCTTGTCATCTGGGCACACCCCCGGGATCAATCCTTCGCCGGTGATTGGCCGCTTGAACTGTAGCTCAGGAGAGGCACACAGGCGGCCAATCACCGGCGAGGAGGTGGAGCTTGGAGAGGAGGAGCCGAGCGGCACCGCGAAGATCGAGCGAGTGAAGAGGAGGAGAGCGGCCGGAGAAGGAAGACATCTGACCGGTAAGTGTCTGTACCATGGGAGAGGGAGGGAGGGAGGAGCGAGCGAGCCCAGGCTGGAGCAGGGGTCAGCAAGGTAAGTATCATTGCTGTCAGTGGGAGGAATAGTGCCCCATCATTGGTGTCACTAATACCAATGATGGGGCACTATTCCTCCCCCCACTGACACCAACGATGGGGCACTATTCCTCCCCCCACTGACACCAACGATGGGGCACTATTCCTCCCCCCACTGACACCTACGATGGGGCACTATTCCTCCCCCCACTGACACCTACGATGGGGCACTATTCCTCCCCCCACTGACACCAACGATGGGGCACTACTCCTCCCACTGCAAAATTACAGTTATGAAGTAGCAACGAAAATAATTTTATGGTTGGGGGTCACCACAACATGAGGAACTGTATTAAAGGGTCGCGGCATTAGAAAGGTTGAGAACCACTGCTCTAGAGCAACTGCACTTTGCAAAGTGCACTGTCTATTTGCCTTTAGTAAATCAATCCCAATATGCCTGGCCAGAGTAAAAACTTTTACCAATGATTGCCAGCAAAACATTGCTTCCCAAGATAAGTTGCAATGAATATAAACACTTTTTTTTTTTTTTTAATACGGGGGTTGGTCTCTGCCAGTCACTACTCAGCCTTGCTCTCTGCATTCATGAGGGCATATCTATTTCCTGCATGAATGCGGATTCTTGCTGGCAGAAGATCCTACAGCAAATATGCATCTACTTATGAGCAGCACAGTTGCCAAATGGTTAGCACTTCTGCCTGGCAGTACTAGGGTCATTGGTTTGAATCCTGACCATGGCACCATCTGCCTGGAGTTTGTATGGTCTCCCTGTACCTGCGTGGGTTTCCTCCTACGCTCCAAAGACATGTTGGCAGGTTAATTGGCTCCTGTCTAAAGTGTCCCTAGTTTATGTATGAATGTAAGTTAGGGACTTTAGATTATACGCTCCTTGAGGGTTAGGGACTGATGTGAATGTACAATATATATGTAAAGTGCTGTGTAAATTGATGGCGCTATATAAGTGTTTGAAATAAAGATAGAGTAGTTTAGATGTACACAATTCTGCTTTCATTCAACTGAATGGCTATAAAATCTGCAGGTATCTGCATTTTTCAAGGCAGAGGTATCCTTTATTTATTTTTTTTTTTAGTGCGTGATGTAGCTACACTCGGGCTTACCATGCGGCGCTGCTCCAGGATCTGTTCTTTTCTTACCTTGTCCTGCGCTCCCGCGATGTCCCTCCTGCAGTGTCCCCTGTAATGTCCTCCAGTGTATGCTGGCATCTGTCTTCTGTCCCCTACGACGTCGGGACGTACGGGGGATGGAATGGTGGGAAATGATGAAAATGTGATTTTAGTGAATGTCACTTTTTGTCAGAGTATAACATTCCTGTATCAAACCATTTCACATACATTTTGTCCCGAGTGCTTTGTCCGGCGCCCTGTCTGCATTTTTACTGTTCTTTCTGCCTGGAAACTGAGAAAAGTCCATGGCGTCCAAAAAGCGTCCCTTTAGGTCAAAAGTGGTTTTAGACCGGCTAGAGAACAGCGATAGTAAATCAGAACCACTTGCAGAATTGAGTGATAATGATTCGTGGGGGAAATTCCTCATCAGACACTGAAACCGATTCTGCGACTTTGCTCAGCGATGTGCGAACTTGGCGCTATATTTCACATTTCAGTGTTTTTAGTTTGATTATATTATTGAATTAAATTTATTATTTATGATTATTAAATTATAATTTATGATTTTGTGTTTCAAGTTTTATCATACCCGGGATGTTTACTAGACTCTTGTTCGGACAGATTTCAGTGAGTTATTCCTAAAAATTACAGCCTACAATAAAAAAATACATATTTCCATGCAAAAAAAAAGTACCGCTTTGAGTACAGAAATATGGACATAATCAGACCACTAGGGAGGTTAACGCAACACACATTTTCACAGGTATGTAGAGCTGTGTGTATAGGCGCTTTAATTACTATAGTGTTGCGTTTAGGTGCGCACAAAACAGTGCACAGCCAAATGCAGCATTTTTTCTGCCCGTATGAATAAACTCTTAATTATACATATAATAAAATAAAGATTAACTAGAGAAATGTGGAAATGCCCCCCCATAGTCCAGCCCTACCAGAAGTCTACTCTCCCTTCTCCTCACCTTCAGTCTCTTCTCCATAGACCACTGCCATTCTCTGTGCAGAAATGTAATCCCACCTCCCTACTCATTGAATACTTCCTCCTCCCTGTCCATGACCATGGGCGCCATCACCAAAGACATCTCCAGGCCCCTCTCTCCAACCACAACTCTTCTGCTGTTGCCTGAAACTACAGACAATACCAGTGCCTCATGTGATGGACAAAACCTCAACACAGGCACACACAATATCAGAATGTGCCAGTGTTTTACATAACATGGGCCACATGAAAAAAAGACCTCTGGAGCAGGGGCGGACTGACCATTTGGAAACTCGGGCACTGCCTGAGGGCCCAGGGTCAGTAGGGGGCCCCATGAGATGCCCCTGGTACCTTTTTCATAGGCTTTTTTGAGTTTGGGCAAGGACACAGGGGCCCCATGATCCCCTATTGCCCGGGGGCCCCATGAGTTGTCAGTCCACCCCTGCTCTGGAGCATTCTGAAGAGCTACACCGGAGAGATGTGCAGCGTATTGTCACTGATCAGGGCCTTCTACAGAGTCCTTGTACCATACATTGGAATGGGATCAGTACAACCATGACACTTGAGTGCCACCTACTGCTTATTTAGAAGAATGGAGGGAGATCAGACACGCCTGAGTTTTCCACTGACTTTTCCCCTTAACATGGAACTTTAGTCAGGAAATTAAGTCCTGCTAGTGCTCTGTACAATCGGCAGATGGACTGGGGACAGCATAAGAAGGGGGGGATCAGAGAACAGCAGGATCAACAAGCCTTTTTGCACACTGTGGAGGATTAACCTCTTAGGTTCCACAGCGAGCATAACAGATGCTTTACTGTCTACAGACTGATTTTTAGTATTGTGGGTTTAGTAACACTTTAAATACTTGATTGTATGTGTTCACTTATTTCAGACCCAACACAGATTTGTTTCCAGTTATAAAGGGAGAAGTACAGTCAAAGCTATTTTGGCTGTACTTCTCCTGTAGATCACAGGAGTGCAACTCCTATGACCCGTTTTCAGCTGCCAGCGGTCTGAAATGCGCTATTGGCTGACGTCACTCTGCCGGTCCAGCCTAGGGAAAGATCCCAACTTTAAAGTCGTGATCCACCCCAAAGTCTGGAGGGCACATGGCTCAGCCTCTGTGCGATCTTCTGAGAGCCGGAGCCAGCAGCTCCCTCTCCCTCCACAGCCCAGCGCTCCAGTGAGCACGTGGGAAGCAGAGCAGACTGACAGTCACTGCTCTCTGCTCAGAGCGGCTGTGAGAACTCAGCAATCAGTGGTCATTTATTATTTATTTCAGGTACTTATATAGCGCCGTCAATTTACGCAGCACTTTACATATATATTGTAAATTCACATCAGTCCCTGACCCTCAAGGAGCGTACAATCTAAGGTCCCTAACTCACATTCATACATACACATACTAGGGCCAATTTAGACAGTAGCCAATTAACCTACCAGCATGTTTTTGGAATGTACGAGGAAACCGGAAGGCCCAGAGGAAACCCACACAGTCACAGGGGCGAACATGCAAACTCCAGGCAGGTGCTGCCAGGGTTGGGATTCAAACCACTGACCCTAGTACTGCCAGGCGGAAGTGCTAACCATTTAGCCACTGTGCTGGTCACCCTTAGAGCCGATGGAATGCAGATGCAGCAGCAGACCAATCCTGCATTCACCTGGTAAGTATGATTTAAAAAAAAAAGAAGAAATACCATACTTTTTTTAAGTTTAATTTGCAGTCAAATTCAGGATTGTATTTAGACATGCTGCTTAAGATTCAACAGCATCTATTTTTTTGGGCATTGCAACCCATTTATTTTGAATAGGCTACTGGCACAGCAAGCCGCAAAGTGCACACTAAACTCGTGCTGCAGTTGTGGTGTTGTTAGGCCCTAAGGCATCATGCACACAGACTGCTGGGGTCATCTGATGTACAATGCCTGGGAGCCAGAGGTACTGCATACAGCTACCCATTGAAATCAATGGCTTTACAAAATTACACAGCAGCTGTGGTTCCTGGATGAGGAGCAATGCCCAAATTTAATGTATGAATATGGCCCTAGGTGCCTGTGTGCGCAAGGCCTGAATCATTTATGATCAACTTACTAGAATTTAGGGGCCAAAAGTGTAGGCCCTGATATTACCAAAAGGTCACACTTTCTGTACAATGTAATACTAGAGAACGAATACTAGCCATCCACCTTAGCAGCACTGATGTACATTTTTTTAAGGAAATATTTGCGGTTTGCTTCATCTACATTATCTGAGTGCATTAAGTTTTTTTTTTTTTTTGGTTTTCACAATAAAATACCACAGTGAGCACTATGTCATTCTTTTGTCTCTTTTGAACATTGCTCTGTCTTGCACCATCTAAGCAGTTAATTACTGCTGGTTTGATCATATGGGATTTCTGAGGAGGATAGTGTGAGCACAAGAGTGAGTCCAGCTGGGTCTATATAGATCTTCTTGATCTACACAGAGGTCAATATGACCTTCATTATGAGGGTCAATAGGGTCACAGAGGTCAAGGTAAAAGTGTGTGCCAAAGGGGAAAATGGTGAAGGTCATATACACTATATTACCAAAAGTAATGGGACACCCCTCCAAATCACTGGATTCAGGTGTTCCAATCACTTCCATGGCCACAGGTGTATAGTGAGCTTCATGGAATGGGTTTCCATGGATGAGCAGCTGCATCCATGCCTTACATCACCAAGTGCAATGCAAAGCGTTGGATGCCGTGGTGTAAATCACACTGCCACTAGACTCTAGAGCAGTTGAGATGTGTTCTCTGGAGTGACAAAATTATTATTATTATACAGCATTTATAAAGCACCAATAGTTCGCTCAGCGCTGTACATTACAAAGGGGGACAGAACATGTGACAGAACAATACCAATACAATGCAAAACATGAGGGGTTTGAGGGCCCTGCTCTTTCGAGCTTACAATCTAGGAGGGAGGGGATAGGGGCACAGGAGGAGATAGCTGTGGGGGATGGAGTGGTAGGAGTGTAGAGGAGGTCGGCAAGTTAGCAGGGGGTGGGGTAGGCTTCCCTGAAGAGATGGGTTTTCAGGGTGCGCCTAAAGGAGAGGAGAGTAGGTGATAATCTGATGGGTTGGGGCAGGGAGTTCCAGAGGATGGGTGACACCCTAGTGAAGTCCTGGAGGCGGGCATGGGAGGAGGAAACCAGGGAACTAGAGAGAAGGAGGTCTTGTGAGGAGCGGAGTGTGCGTGCTGGGCGGTACTTGGATATTAGGTCGGTGATGTAGTTCGGGGCAGTATGGTGGACGGCTTTGTACGTCAGTGTTAGGATTTTGAATTTGATCCGTTGCGCAATCGGAAGCCAATGGAGGGATTGGCAGAGGGGGGTGGCGGAGATGGAGCGGTTGGAAAGGTGAATGAGTCTGGCAGCTGTATTCAGGATGGACTGAAGCGGGGATAGCCAGTGGCGAGGCAGGCCAGTGAGGAGGGAGTTGCAGTAGTCGAGTCGTGATATGATGAGGGAGTGGATGAGCTGTTTAGTTTTTTCTGGGGTTAGGAACGTGCGGATTTTGGCGATGTTGCGGAGGTGGCGTCTGCATGACCTTGTTAAAGATTGGACTTGGGGCTGGAAGGATAGGTTGGAGTCCAGAATGACACCAAGTACTCTGGCCTGCGGGGCGGATTTGGTGGTGGCGTTGTTGGATGTGATGGAGAAGTCAATGGGGGGTGGTGTCCGGGCTGGGGGGAAGACAAGAAACTCGGTCTTGGAGAGGTTTAGTTTAAGGAAGTGGAGCGACATCCAGTCAGATATGTCACTCAGTAGGTGTGTGATTTGGGCAGAGACTGAGGGGGTGAGGTGGGGGGTTGAGAGAGATATATTTATGTGTTGTCGGCATATAGGTGGTAGTTCTGGCAATCCAATGGACGTGTCTGGGTTTGGCATTTGCCAGGAGAACAGTACTTGCCTTGCCAGACTGCCTTGTGCCAAGTGTAAAGTTTGGTGGAGGGGGGATTATGGTGTGGGGTTGTTTTTCAGAGGTTGAACTTGGCCCCTTCGTTCCAGTGCAGGGAACTCTTAAGGCGTCAGCATACCAAGACATTTTGGATAATTTCATTCTCCCAACTTTGTGGGACCAGTGTGGGGATGGTCCCTTCCTGTTCCAACATGACTGCGCAGCAATGCACAAAGCAAGGTCTATAAAGACATGGATGAGTGAGTTTGAACTGGAGGAACTTGACTTGCCTGTACAGAGTGCTGACCTCAACCCAACAGAACACCTTTGGAATGAATTAGAGCGGAGATTGCGAGCCAGGACTTCTCATCCAAGATCAGTGCCTGACCTCCAAATGCACTTCTTGAAAAATGGTCAAACATTCCCATAGACACCCTCCTAAACCTTGTGGACAACTTTCCCAGAAGAGCTGAAGCTGTTATAGCTGCAAAGAGTAGGCCAACTCAATATTAAACCCTACAGATAAAGACTGGGATGCCATTAAAGTTCATATGCGTTTCCTGTTCATTGGCGATCAGACTATATTCCCACCGTGCGAGAGTGGATTCTTAGGATCAATAGGATCGCGGAAATGGAGGAGTTGATCTCAGTGGCAAAAGAACATCCCAAGCGATTCAGGAAGACTTGGGCTTGTTGGACTCATTTCCAATCTACTGATACTTATCATGGCTTAATGAAGGAATGAGCGAGAAAGATTTGGAGACACGGAAAGCCTCTAGAACTCTCACCTCAGGAATAACTCCATTAATGGACTTTCACTGAATTATACCCCTAATTAAAGATAAAATCTATTACAGCCAGGCCGATGCTAATTGATGTGAATGGTTTGGTTATGCCTATTTAATTCTAAACCTCATCCTCCCACCCCATCCCCCTTTTTTTTTTTTTTTTTTTTCTTTTTCTTTTTCCCCATCTTCCCTATCTATTTGTCCTCTGTTCCCCCCCCCCACCTCTTTATGATATTACATCTCATATTCTTCCTCCATTCCCATGCTCGTCTCTTTCTTTTCTTTTGTTTCTCTCTTTTGCACCCCCTTTTCTCATATTCTAAATAGCTATATTTTTCATAAGGTACGGAACACTCATAGATGTAGATGTACAGGTGCAACAATAATCCACAAAACTAACCCACACTTTTCGGATATGGAAACATAGGACATATATGCCTTGAGATGATACTTTTGTCTTGCACTGCATAGTCCTGTTATTTGAGCTATCCCTACATAGAGGCTTGTGTATACCGTATTTATCTAAATTACATATTGTTATCATTACTGCTATGGTTCTATCTTTTGCATCTGCCTTACTGTGGCACTTCATCTCATGATGATCTACAATTTAATCTAATGTCCTGATCCCATCTGCGTTACGGGAGAACATGTAAAAGGATGTGCGCGGACTGCGTTCCGTATCTGTCTATGACTTGTTTTGCCTTTTATACTTCAATAAAACTTTTGTGGAAAAAAAAAAAAAAAAGAAGTTCATATGCGTGTAAAGGGAGGCGTCCCAATACGTTTGCCAATATAGTGTATAGGGTACATGGTTTGATTAATATGTTTGTATAATTTATTAGCCCAGCATATTCACATTCAGTAGTTTTGGGTAATTTATTTACTTTTTTTGCATGCAACTTTGGGTTTTACACAACCGGTGCACAGTCACTTTAGATATATTGCATATTACCATGGGTTGCGTTAAGGCAGCTCCTTTTTACACGAGTAGACCAATTAGGTCCACCTATCCGTTTACACCTGTCTACATCCAATCTGATAAAACCAGGATGGGGATCTGTTCCCCTTCTGGCTAGCGGATTGAATGGTAGTCAGGTGTAAACTGACAGACTGTCCATTAACAACTGTCTATTTATATCCGACTGCCCATAGGGGAAAGTGGGCTGTGACTGGATCCATTCTTCTTAACCACTTCCCGACCGGCTGTTGTATATAAACGGCTGGACGGTGGCACTGCAGTCCCCGGGAGCGCGCAGCACTGTGATCCGGTGCCCGCTGTGTCCTCCGGACACAGTGAAAAACCAATCGTCGGACGGGGCCAATCAGTGATCACATGCAAAGTAGTAAGCAAGATGTCACTTCTGACATCATTGCTTACGATGTGTGAAATCTGTGAATGATCACAGAGGTCACATGGTACAAGGCTGTTGTGAATAGCCTTGTACCATGTGACAAGCTGTGACCAATCACAGCTCACTCAGTAGTTCTCAATGGCTGCAAGAATGCAGACAGAGAGAGAAATGATTGCTTTTACATCCTATATGGGTTTAAAAGCAATCGATGTAAAAAAAAAAAAAAATCTTCATCACCCCCCAAAAGTGTCACATGTGACACCATGGTGACAGTATGTAAAAAAAAAT